TTAATGAGTGAGTGTGGTTTTACGCCGCTTTTTGCAATATTCCAGCAATATCACGGCGGGGGACACCAGAAATGGGCTTCACACATTGTACCCATGTCGGGAATCGAACCCGGGTCTTCGGCGTGACAAGCGAACGCTTTAACCACTAGGCTACCCGACCGCCCCTTCTTTAATGAGAATGATAAGTGGGTACGGGTGCATTATCTGCAAGACATTCAATTATGTAGGCCCAAAACTTGCATTCCCTGTCAAGAAGAAATTATAAATTATACATGAGACATTACTAGATATAGCTTTTGTTGTACCAATAATGCAAGTCAAAATGTCAAGAAAACTACTAAACTGTTCTCACTGCAGTATTAACGAAATGAAGCATGTAAGGATCGTGTTTAGTTTAGTGTTTAGTAGTATGTAAATAAATATCCACATTCATCAGAACCTCGGCAGTGAGAAAGGGAACATTGATGAGAGAACAATAGTAACTAGATATGTGTCAATTCATAATTATACCAAAGCAAGTGGGTAGGAACCAAATGATGCAATAACCACTAACGCACAACTGTACAATGATGATGATGATGATGACGGCGACGATGATGATGATGATGATGACGGCGACGATGATGATGATGATGATGATGACGGCGATGCTGATGATGATGCTATTTATATCGCGCTGTATTTCCACAGCACACAGGGACATGCTCAATGTGCTACAGTATTATTATCCCTGTCACTGGATCAGTGTGCACTTGATTTTCATTCACAGCTGTGCCTTGACAGTATACAACCGAACCTGATTTGTGACCTGTGCGCTATACACGGGTCGCATGGGTTACAGATATCCATGCTTTACTATGCCCTGCCTCGAAATAGAGTGGTGGTATTATGTTTCAAGCATCGAAATCACTAAGTTCATTAAATTCAGAATCCGCCAGTAAACCTTATCCTTTAGCTCGGCAGCGGGAAACACAACCAACACTAGTGACGATCAACATTCCACGCACGCTGTTGAATGACCTAATATGTCTGATGACATATGTCTATGTTGCTCATATATCCTCCCCATTCTCCCACAACTAACAACAATTAACTCATTCATAAGATTGATTTATTATTTGTATCTAATGCGTAAGCGAGAAAGGCTGTATTCAATTGTAGTAGGCATTACACAACTCACTGATATCAATTCTCACCCATATGCTTAGATACCCGTGACGATCTGGGTTAGAAGAGGTCGTCAGCAACCCATGCTTGTAGTAAGAGGCGACTAACGGGATCGGGTGGTCAGGCTCGCTGAATTGGTTGATGCATGTCATCGTATCCCAGTTGCGTTGATCGATGCCCATGATGTCAATCACTGGATTGTCTGGTCCAGGCTAGATTATTTACAGACCGCCGTCATTTAACTGGAATATTGTGGCGTTAAACAACAAACAACAACACCCATATGCTTTGATAAACCTGCGTAACTGTCGTGTGAATTGTTCATTTTCTATATAAAAACTTGAAACATCAATTAATTTTTTTATACCCGGTATTTGACAGCCTGGAATGTACCAGTCATCTTAGTAGAGTGAGTGAGTAGGGTTTTACGCCACTTTTGCCAATATCCCAGGAATATCCAGGCAAGGGACATCAAGAAATGGACAACGGGTACTGCACGTGACTAGCCAACGCTGATTACTAGGCTGCCCCACTGCACTGTAAAAATGTGTTTAGATCCTAAACAAAAACCTAAACACGTTCCTTGCCCCATACTTTTCACATGTTTAGGATTGTGTTTAACAGCTAAACGTGTTTAGTATCTACATATGTGAACGGCCCGTATAACTTGTAATTCATTGTCGGTAATTTTTAAAATTATGTTTTTTAGCGTTTAATGAAGTGTAATTAAAAATGTTTTAACGTTTAAAATTCTAAACATGTTTACATTATGGGGATGTTGTGTTTAGGTGATGTTTAGGCTGTGAAGCGATAGCTTATTTAGTGTGTTTAGACCCTAAACTTGTATAGAAAGAACACACAAAATGTTTATTCTGTTTAGATCTAAACATGTCTTACAACGTGTTTCCATTCTAAACACATGTTACAGTGTGTGTTTTTATAAAATGCAAAGTACTGTTGTTTTAAAACAATTTAAATAATTGAAACGATGTCTCCAAGCAGTCGAGATGTTTCCAGATGCTATAAAGCATTCGAACACACCATGGACGACAATTAGGATATAGCCAGGATTGGATTGCTTATTATGTCAGAGCAAACCTGTTGTAACAGTCGGCAACGCCCGACAACGTAGTATCTGAATAGAATACTAATCGTTTCTCCATAGCAATGGCGCATGTATGTTTTGATATATGCATTTTCGAATTGCACTGTGTCCCCTGCATACCGATGTACGACAGCGAAGAGCAACATCGTCCATGTGGAAAACGTCATCCTATACCATGCTTTAAGCAGGAATAATTGTTCCGTAATTACATTCGGTGGATTTTACTAACACCACATTTAGTGCATTGTTCAACAACAATTACACTTTATCTGAAGAATCACATGGGTGAGTAGACTAACATTTTGTCTGAAATCTTATATTACACAATATCCTTCTTGACTCTAGAAATAAAAAGAAATTCCCTTAGAGCTAGCTTGAGCTGGCTAGACTTGCATTTGTATGCGTTTCTAGATTTATTTATTCCATTTATTTATTTATTATTTATTATTATTTAATATATTCCACGGTCATGGTGCCGGACTGATGAGCTATCCAATGATTATATGAATATAAATACTTATATATCTGCTTCAGAATAACAAACATCCAACACAGATGGAGCAGACAATCATATCAAGCAACAGACACGGTACTTCAAAGTTGCCAACATGGTGTACTGTCAACTTTATGATAGTTCTATTAGTGACACGGAGAATACAAAGGGGCTGAGGGTAAATGAAGTTTGATGGGGGGGTGCTTGATGGGGAAGGGCGGATTAACAGTCAGTTGAAAGGCCTGTGGATTGTCGTACTGACTGATAATTGTGGTATAGGCGTGGCCAGGTTGGGTTGACAACCGTCGCAGTCACACATGAAGGCTGTTATTTGTAAGTTGTTGTTTAACACCGCTCTTAGCAATATCCCAGCTATATGTCGGAGGTCTGTAAATATTCAGTCGACAATCCAGTGACAGACATCATGAGCAGTTGAGATATCATGACAAGCAATCAACCAAGTCATCGAGTCTGACCACCCGATCCCGTCAGTCGCATCCTCCTTCAAGCATGGGTTGCTGAAGACCAACTCTAGCCGAATCTTAACGGGGCCTGGCTATATCAGTAGTATTGGAGTACGGGGTTCGGAGATAGCAATAGCGGTTTGCGTGATTACCAACGTTTGACATGCACAGATATGACAGTCTCTTATAGGGGAGAATATTACATTAGGTTTGGCAGTGCTTGAAGCAGCTTCGAAATAATTGTATGCAAAATCGTATGTACTGCTCCGTTTTTACCTTATTTCCGACATCCGCACAAACACATAACTACGATTCGTAATGTTCTACTGAAGTCCGATATTGCACCGGCCTTCACAAGCTCCATCAGAATGCAATTTACATAAAAGGGACTACTGGATGTCAGTTAGTAAAATCCGAGCTACGCTACCACAGCTATACGTATGGCTGTGTTCAGAGGGCCAGCTATCACTATGAGTCGGGTCGTCACAGCAAACATATTACTGCTATGAACGGGTCAATTATATAACGCCATCAAACCTCCACCATAAGACGTTAATACCTTATTGTGATTAGTACACTCGGCTGAAAACAGCTTTATGATTGACTTGGCAGAGTGTCGACGGTCCCTGGTAAATATAACGCACATGTTGCCTGGAGCAAATGGGATACAAGACACATAACTATATACAAATAACTAGCAGAAAATATCCATCAACACGGCAACCAGCGTAACCCGACTTCGACATGTTATGCTACCAGGAAACGCCATTGATGGTTCGACGACTCTATCAGACAAAGTAACGATATCTCTGTATTTAGACTTCTGTCGGGAAAATGACGTTAACGTACTTTAATTGTGTTTCCTGAAGCTAGGGTTTGGCTTTTAGTGAAATAAATTGATTATGGAAATCATTAAACGGATCTCACATGTGTGCGTTTAACTGTAAACATGATGAGCATATTGATCAATGAACTCACTCCGTCCTGCAGTACCAAGAGGACAGTACGACATATTTACAAACATCCATAGATACACACAAATACATACATACATACATACATACATACATACATACATACATACATACATACATACATATATATATATATATATATATATATATATATATATATATATATATATATATATATATATATATACGCATGTCAAGTTAACCTCAACTAAATATATATATATATATATATATACGCATGTCAAGTTAACCTCAACTAACCATTGTTTTCTAGCCGGAGTAACAAGACACTGCAAATCTTTCACCTGCTCACCCTCAGGCTCGTTTTGTTCACAGTGATGTATTCACAGTGTCAGATAGCGATTTTAACTTCATAAAGCACCCGACCTGTGAGTGAATTGAATGTTTTTACACCACTCCCATTCAACCTTACATATCCGTGTCTGTGCACTGGCTGATGAAATACTTGACTTATGGATGCTGGCAGTCGAGCGTGTCGACTAGACTCATAATGTGGTCAGAAAGCATTTGAAACATATGTACATATGAAGCGCCCATTAAAAGAAAGGCATGAATCTATACCTAAGAGTCAAGGGTCATCCCAGTAAAATCAATGCTTTTCGTCCTAAGCGAAAGCAGCTGAACCGTACAGAAAGGAAGTGTTGGGCTTCGGACACTAACAATATCCCTGATCTGCTAAAGTTGTGACTGATACGTCAATGCAACATACATCCGTGTGTGTTTATTAAACTAAGTTATAACCCATACCGTTTAATTACTACATTAACAAAACTCACCTTCAGCGTCCATCGCTCCTCTCGTCCACGTTGGTTGTGATGTTGACGCCAGCTGTTCGTTCAATCCTCGATATACCACGTGGTCGAACCCGCCAAGCTATAGTGAACTCACCGATATTCCATTGATGCATTTGGCGGGGAAGGGAAGCACTCTGAATACCGCTCACACAGATAACATAGAGCCAGTGGCTGACATCACTATACAAGCATGCTGCGAGCGGACGCACGCATAAATGTGTCACTACTGCCCCCTTCAACTTTGTTAGTTAACAAACAGTCTGTACGTACACGCGTCAACTTGTAAAGTTCAGAAACATCTCCGGTTTGAGGTGTCTATTTCGTTGCCAGGCAACTGATGAGAGCTAAATAATCGAGTTTCACTGAAAGGTGGTTGCATCATTACATGGAGATGTGCACCAGTGTGCTGGATGTTGTTTTCTGAGTTTGACATTGGTGAGTGTTGAACTGCAACACACCTGGCGGCTTATGTTAATGAGGTATCAATGATGCAACAACGTGGGAGCAGTTTGCTGGTGATGATCACACTGTGTTGTTAACAGTGGTATCTGTAGGACTAGTATTGGCAATACTGCTATAGTGACAGAAATGGTATTAATTATAGTTGTAGCTGAAACGGTAGTTGTAATAGTAGTTACAGTAGACATAAAAGTAGTAATAGTCATAGTGGTAGCTGTAATAGTGGCTGTAGAAGTAGCAGCAGTCGTTTATGAGATATCAATGGTTCAATAAAGACTGTGTTGTATAGCGCCGCACTCGGCACTATTCCAGCTCTCTAGTAGCAGTAATGAGATATTAATGGTGCAATAAAGATTGTTTTGTCTAGCGCCGCACTCAGCACTATTGCAGCTATATGACTTTGATTTAAATAATTGTAGGACTAGAATTAAATGGTGATGTGGGGCGCATGCACGTGGGGGTGTGTGCGCGCGCGTGCGTGTGTGTCCAAGATTATTGCACTTATATAGCGATGTGTATGCACGTGTTTGTGTGTATTAGTCCGGACTGATGCCGATTTCATAGCGCTTGGCCCCTGAGATACCATGCCGCCCTTTAATAGGAATTCACCACTCAGACACAATATACTGAGTCCGAGCCGACCAGTGTCCTGGTTTTATCCCCTTAATGTCGAGCACCAGACAGGTACTATCTTTTAAGGTCTTTGTGCATGACGCGGCTGGGGATAAAACCTGTCCTGGCGGACGCTCTACCACTAGACCACGGAGGCGGTTGACTAGTATTAGAAGTAGTAGCAATAGTCATAGTGGCAGCTGTAATTGTGAGTGAGTATTCCCGTTATATCACGGCGTGTCAGCTTACATCTTCCCAAGGCAAGAGAGTTAACTGACTTTAAAAGTACAGTTTCCACCCTTGCCGAACTAGGCTCATATTATGGAGTTGCGTTTTGGCGAGTCTATGCATAGTCCAATCAAAATCGCGCACCGAAATCGAAATCCGGTTTGTAAACTGTCGTGCAGAATTCGGTCGATTGCAGGATTTGCAAAGAATGTGCACCGCAATCAGAGAAAATAGTCTATTATATGGTCTCTGCCGCAATGTAAGACCCGTTTTATCACGATATAGATCTTGATTATCGATCAGATCGTCTTGACTGGGCGCCACCATTTTGTGTGAAGCAAACGCAAGTGATACGAGACGTGGAATCTGATTGGTCCATAGGAGAGACTTAGAAGGGACATAACTGGTAATAGCCACTGGTGGCGCTACGATCGAGCCCAGTAATTCCAGCCCAGTTCGGCAAGGGTGGAAACTGGACAAACTGAATCTGATGTGTATGGCAATATACTGCAATAACACCTAGCTTCATCCAAAGTCAATACTCCACGGGTATTAGTACACTATATTCCTCATTCACCCCTATTATGTATGGCAGCTATGCATAATAATAGTAACACATATATATTTGTAGACAGGTAATAAAATGTGGACGAGTATTACACACACAAATCAAATGAGCCCTACTCCACTCATGAACTTTATGCCTGCCATTGATGCAATGAGTAGATATCTACAAGCCTAGTGAGTGAGTGAGTGAGTTGGGTTTATCGCCGCTTTTAACAGTATTCCAGTTATATCACGGCATATACTGAAAATCAATGTCTAACTGTGACGTAGCTAAGGCATTTTACAAGTTTTGGCAACTTTGGCGATATAAATTTCGAAACATTTTGCCAAGGGCACGAGGCCTAGCCAAGCGGGATCAGTCGCCATATCTGTGCTTGTAGACCTCTGCGGCTTGAAACCTTTTCCACAAATTAAAATAGTTGGATTTGGCCGAAATATGTTTGAATTGTTACCTTGTTTCGTTTTTTCGCTGTGTGTATATCTGACTGCACTTCTTAACGTTATGACAGGACAGGCCGACTGTCAACAACGTCTGAACGTGCCCGTGACGTCTCAGAGACAAGGGTTAGAGTAGCTTCCCTTTGACAAAGGGCAGTTACTCTAGCGGACAGACCGATTGATTGCCGCGAAATGCAAGTAAAAACAATTGTTGTTTTGCGTATATGTTGCTTCGCCACTGTAAGAAACAGATTTCAGTTAGAACTATATTGGCTACTGTCACTGTCCGACTGACACATCACTTACCCTGTGACGTAATAAATTTTAATGCGAGCCTTCCAGGAAAACTCGCAATGGTTCTGTAATGTTTGTGAGAGAGGCAAAGCGATTTTCAAGCACAAAATTAAAGAATGACATGATGGATATATAGAGGTTATCACGCTTGTGTGTTTAGGGATGATAAATATCCTGTATTAGGAATAAACACTATGTATTTAGCTCGCCAAGGCTCGCTAAATACAATGTTTATTCCTAAAGCAGGATATTTACCATCCCCAAACACACTCGCGTGATAACCTCCATATATCCATCATGTGTTCATAATATGTTCTGAATCGTCATATCTTCTTCATGTATTCAATATATTTCTCTTTCATTTCTTTATTATATTCACCATATGTCCATAATAGGTCCTTTATATGTTTATTATATGTGACGCGCCAGGATAAAAGGGACCTTATAAGTGACAGGATACAATTGTGCTGTGACGTCATACAGAAAGACGTTTGACGTCGTGCTGCTTCCGTAAAAATCGCCTTGTAGATCTATGCAGACTGTACAAAAATATATCATTTTACACTTCTAAAGTCGTAATGTAATAAAAGCATTATTACACTTAAGCAGACCTGTCTACTTTCGGGTACTCAGTCACTATGTCTGAGTGAGTGAGTGAGTATGGTTTACGCCGCTTTAAGCAATATTCCAGCAATATCACGGCGGGGGACAGCAGAAATGGGCTTCACACATCGTACCCATGTCGGGAATCGAACCCGGGTCTTCGGTGTGACGAGCGAACGCTTTAACCACTAGGCTACCTGACCGCCAGAAACCTATGGTTGTGGATTCGAATCCCGATTCGCCCCAATTATGTTTTTAGGTTTGTCAGCATCATACCCGTGCCCGTGGGTTTCACCGAAGTGGTAAACGTCTGAGACCTGCATCACTTCGGGCTTTCATCCCACATTAATCTGACACGCCGTGATATAACTGGAATACAGTTAAAAGGGGCGTTAAACCCAACTCACTCACTCCTTAAAAAACCCAGCGTATATTATGTACAGTAAACTGACACGACTCTCCATGTGCTCATGGATTTTACATTGACTTTTGTGTCATCTGAATTCTTGGCATGAACTCGCCTTCATCATGTTTCTCAGTTTGTTGGCACCATCGTCACCACGCCGTGCATAACTGAAATACTGTTCAAAGCGGCCTTTAGCCATTCTTTTAATCCGTTTATTTGCATGCAATAATTCCATTTGAGAAGAACTTAACAAAGGAATAGACAGGAAATGTACTTAATGGCGAAGAGGTCCCTGTTAATTCCATCCTTTTTAAATCAGGATCAATCTGCAGACATTAACTTGTGCGGTGACACCTGGACGTGTGAGATGACACGTGTGCCTTGCTTCCTGCTGTCACCATGGATCATGCAATACGTTGACAGCCTAACATCAAGCCATTTTACATTAAATCCGCCTGTAACAGCACGTTGTGTTTATTTGCATGATGGAAATTCGAGATTCCATGTACGTATTTCATTACAAAAAAACAACATATTGATACAAAAACTAACTCTGGACAATAAAGTATAGTTCTACTCATAGATGATATTCCGTACTTAACGATGCAGAGGCAGGTGTGTGTGAAGGACGTTCTCGTATGGGGGGGGGGGGGGGGGGGGGGGGGTCGTGTAGAGAAGGTAGGGATGTGTGTAGGGAGCGGGAATGAGGATTGAGGTTTGGTTACAGTAAGATAAAGGTGGAGGGGGTGAAATTCAATACCGGGGACATGCGAAGCAAATGTAAAACTGTGTCAACGATGTCTCACATTACTGCAAAACTTCCGGTAGCTATGGTTTCATACGAAAATCACATTATAAAGATAAAATATAGATATCTTAACGAGATGAACTTTAGAGGCTGTAGCGACCTCAGCTGTGAAACGGTAAACAGGAATAGATACAAAAGACATTGAATACATCAAACATGCACTGAATACACTTAGGTACATCATTAATTGGTTTAGGATTGGATTCAATTGGATATGTAAAAAATACTTTGAGGTAGTTTTTTTCTTAACTACAACCAATGTTGCAACTTGTCTTGGCATTGACAAAATTTGTCCTTTGCTTTGTGTGTTGTTTAACGCCGCACTCAGCAATATTCCAGCTGTATAGAAGGCGCTACCGAAATGGCCTGTCCAGAATTAATCCCAATAATCTAAACCACCACTGACAAAATTATCTTGTTACAAGCGTGAAACATTAATTACGTTAATAAATCAACTTTTACAGAAAATTGATACAGTGGTTTCACTAATTTAATCAATCTAATCCTGTGTTGTCTGTGATTGGATCTACATTACATATGTATACATTTGATGGAGAGAATTAAATATCAATTGTTTCATATATTTTATTAAAAACAATAAACCAGTTAAATCAGTCAATATAATTACTTTGGGTATAATAAATTGTTTATGTTTATCGATTGGTATATTGGTATCAGTATTAATAAAAAATATTCTGAAGCAAAAACAAGTTGAATTATTATAGGACTGAGCATAGAATTTCAGAAAGATTTAAACAAAATATTCATTATCCCAAATAAAAGTGTTCAGTATATACCATTCCCCATTCCTCATCGTACACCATTCCTCGAAATGGAAGGAATGGCAAGAGTTGAGTCTGTCTCCCAGACCCTTGAGAATAAATTATAAAGTCCAACTGAAGTCAAGAATGATGTGGCTAGTCTTGATTGCCTCAGCTCTGAAATTAAGGATTGTTCTTGGCTCCATTTGGATTCTATCTTATATTTAGGAGAAATAGATTTTAAACTTAAATGTTTTAACTTTATTTCT